TCCACTGATCGGATCTTAACCAGATTAGTATGGGACAACCTCTGAGACACTACCTTTCCGATGCAAAAAGAATTATCCTCCTTTTTTGGAAGTCAGTTACAAAAAAAAATTTAGTCGTTATTTGAAAGATTTTCCTTAATTAAGTAGAATACAATGGAATCAGTGGCCGGAGCACTTTTGTCTCAGGAGGAAGAACATGCTGCAGCTAACAGTTGCATTAATATACAAAGGAGATTGCTAGTAGTTCTGATTCATTTAGCTTGTGAATGAAAAATTTCCGCATCAACAAACACGCATTTAAAATCGTTTTAATAATTATGGAGGAAGAGCTTGGGCGAAGTGTAAAATCATCATCGGTAGATTGATGGCAGTTTTGAGGTTTTTCGCTGAAGGAAGCTACCAACATGTTGTTGGGGAAAGATTTTGATGTGGGGTTGGCGCAATCCACGTTCTCTAAAACATTGACAAAAACTTTAAACATTTTGAAAAGCCTCGAGCAATGTCTGACCTTTAGCTCAAGCATTCCACCATTTTTTCGCATTACGACCGATTTGATGTGATCTTCGACCTGATATGTTGGAAATATTTAGTAATAATCCAATTTTTTTCTATTTACACTACTTACATATTTTTGCCTTTACACACTTTATTTCATTGCTATTTTAAAAGAATTTGCTTCGCTCCGACACCAGTTGCTCTTCGTACGAAATTTCCGACAAATACATAAAAATGACAGCTACGTCGGATTAGGGCATACCAACATTACGAATTTCGAAGATGCCCTCCGAAATTCGAAATAACGATACGACAACGCGGATTTCAGCATATCAATTTTACGATTCGTAGCAAAATCGAATCTACGACGGATTACAGCAATGGGGGTCAATTTAGATGTTACTTGTTGTCATAGTCGTTTCTTTTTACAACGCTTTTATCAACTTGCAATGTTGTATGTCCAGACCACCATTTTATGCTATAAATATAGCAAAGGTATTTATGGCAAATCTAGTCTAGATATCAACCTCGTCGTAGGTATCATATCAAAGACATACAATTAAAAACTCTAGAGATAGATGTCGCCCGCCAGAAGAAGTTAAAAATATGCACTACATACGCTACAGCGGAAATGGACGGCACGCCATTTCTTTAAATGACATTAATTGCTGCTATATGTATGTACATATGTACATATGTAGGCATATACTAAATGTGATCAAACAACATTTTGCTTGCATAGTCTTCTGTTCTCTTTTCACTGCAAGTTGAATTATTTTAGTATCTATTGCAAAATTTTATACAGACAAGACTAAAAAGTATAAAATAAATTAAAACAAGTAAGAAAGTCTAAGTTCGGGCGGGGCCGAACATTAAATACCCGGCGCAAGTATTAAATATATATGTTTCACTTTTCCGAAACCTACCGCTACATGGTAAGCTGGGGCGTATAATGGGAGTCCTTAAATTTCGAAATTTTGAAGTTTCAAGCAGTTCTGAAATTTACCCTCATATGGAAATCGACCTCAATTTTAGTCCGATTTTAATAACTTTCCATGTTTTGCTTTTATGTGGCAAACACAATAACCTACCGAGTTTGGTACAAATTGGTATAACGGTTACGGAGATACATATATGTGATCATAAGTGGGCGGTGCCACGCCCATTTTCCAAAATTTTATCAGAAACATATTTCTTGGTTAAGAATTGTTGTAAGCATCGATTTTGAATAAATCAGCTTTAATATTTACTCATTTATCGAAGATTTTGTATTTCCTAAATTACCGTTACATGGGATGTGGGCGTGGTTATTGTCCGATTTTAAAAATTTTCGGCCATTTGGTATGATGTGCGTAGGCCAACAACTGTGCCAAGTTTGGAAGAAATTGGTAAAGCGGTTACCAAGATATACACATGTAACGCCCATTTTCCAAAAATTTATAATATTCTTTGTTTTTCGTCTAAAACTTATTGTAAATATCAATTTTGAGTGAATAATCTCCAGTAGTTACTAAAATATCGCAGTTTTGGTATTTCTGAAAATTACCGTTATATGGGAAGTGGGCGTGGTAACAGTCCGATTTCGCCCAGTTTCAATACCAACCTACCTTGTATAAATAGAAACCCACATACCAAATTTCGTTGAGATATGTCAATTTTTGCTCGAGTTATCGTGTACACGGACGGACAGACAGACGGACAGACGGACGGACAGACATGGCTTAATCGATTTCTCTTTTCATTCTGATCATTTATGTATACATTTGTCTATGCCTATCTCGATTCGTTTTGGCTGTTACAAACAACCGTTATGTGAACAACATTAATACACCCTTGTGCACAAGTGCGCTCGGGTATAAAAAAACTTTTTAATGTACCACGCTTTTATAAATGGACTTAAATTAGAAAATAATATTTCTCAGTCCTATAGAACTTGTTTTGATAACTTTTGATTTTGAAATTTTAGCAAAAGTCATTATAAACATTTTATGAGATTTAAAATGAAAAGCGTGGGGCGCATGTAATAGGGCTGATTTGAAATTGAAGAGTAATATATGTATGTATGTGGGTATATTAATAACGACCGCTTAAAATCGATCTCAATTTGGTACTTTCGCTGTAGAAATTTTTGGTCTATGTTATGTATGTAGTTTGAATATTGTCAATTAAATCTAATGCTTTGTATTGCATGCGCTCCACGTTTTTACAACGCTTTTATCAACTTGCAATGTTGTATGTCCAGACAGCTTTGAATGTTGTATGTCCAGACCACCATTTATACTAGCTGCATTTTTTTGTAAGCGAGCGACAAAAGAACGCTCAACTCGGGTAAAATTTCTTTTTAGCTACTTAAGCAACCCTGTTTGTAGCTATCAAGAAAATGTGATTAGTTTAACGGGATTTAGATACAAAAAGCAATTTAAATGAGTAATTATATGTTTATACTAAATGTGAGCAAACAACATTGTGCTTGTATAGTTTTCTGTTCTCTTTCACTGCAAGTTGAATTATTTTAATATCTATTGCAAAATTTTGTAGACAGCACTAAAAAGTAGAAAACAAATAAAATAAAAGAAAAACTTTTTAATATACAACGCTTTTATAAATGGGCTAAAAAGTAGAAAATAATGTTTCTCAGTTGATAACTTTTGATTTTGAAATTTTAGCAAGTCATTATAAACAATTAATGACATTGAAAATGAAAAGCGTGGGCGCATGTAATACACTTGAATTGATATGAAAAGTAACATATGTATGTATGTGGGCATATGAATAACGACCGCTTAAAATCGATCTCAAATTTGTACTTTCGCTGTAGAATGTTATGTAGTTTGCACAGAGTGCTTGTAAATCAGCTTAATCTCTAAATAGTATTTAAAACAAACTTTCCATCAGAAAAATTTATATTGTTTAAAAAAATAAGTAAATTATCAGACGGCGTATAAACTTCTTACCTTTTGTTAATAAGAGTTCTTGCGAACATTAAGGTTCTTCTATCTACACCTTTCCAAAATATTTTTCTGACCCTTAATCAATCCCATGCTTAGGGAAACAAAAATTGATTCCGCAAGGAATGTTAAAGGTTAAAGAGTTCTGTTACACCTTGCTTTACAAAACCTTGGTGATTGCCACAGAAGTTATTGACCAAAACTTTAAGAAGTTACCATATTATTTTGTAATATATTCTTAATGTGAATGGAAAAAAGTAAAAAATCTGAGCATATTTTAGGTCAAGCGGAGTATAGGTAGATTTTAAATCTAAAAAAGAAATCGGAGGAAATCTACTCCAGTCGGGGCAAAGTCCGGACGCTGTTTCCCACGCAGTTATGCTGGGTTTGATAAGCGAAAACAAAGTACGGCTTAAAGCTCAATTATGCAAGACTTAGACTTGACTTGTCTTGAAAATTGTATAAATGGCAAATGTATGTAGTTACCCAAAAAAACAACTTCACTGTGAAACTTAGAGAACTATAGATTTTTGAATCCTAAGTTAAATTTCTAAGTACAAAGAGAGTTGTGACAATCATCCTGCCACATAATTTTTTCACATATTTTTAATAAAATTCCTCCATATATGCCACACAAATATAATTTTTTGTATAAATGCAATTCATATGGCAATCGAAAAACAAACTTTCAATAAAGACAGAAAATAAAATAAAAACAAGTAAAGAAGTATAACTTCAGGCGAAACCGAACTTTATATACCCGGCGCAGGTATCAAATATCGTTGTTTTAACTTTCTCTAAACTACCTTTGCATGATAATCAGGACTGTTTTTCCCGATTTCAAACGTTTTCGATAATATGCTGAGTTAGGCTTAATGATATTTTATTTTTATTTTTATTTTATTTCAATTATTTTAAGTCGACATAGACATAAAACGGTCGACTACTAAAGTTACGTATATAAAAGGATACATACACATAAAGAATAAATAAAGATTTAACTAAGCGTTAAGAATAATATAATATAATTTACATTTAATCCACTGAAACTTTTAAAATATCAGGCTACACGCGCAAGTATTGCGTTATGTAAAGCAGTAAACGAACATTCAATACTGACACAGCTATACAAATCATTATAATTACGCAGCAGGTTGTTTTTGGCAAAGGGATAAATGAAAAGGCACAAAGTGTCTAGACGATCTAACAGGAACAGCAAAATTAAGTTGGCTAACAAGGTAAGACGAGTCAATCTCGCCGATTATCAACTTATGGAGAAACATTACCCCGAGTAATATTCTACGATTTTCAAGAGTTGGAGAACTAATAAGGAGCCTATTTTTATAAGGTGGAAGACGGAGATCTGATTTCCATTTGGGGCCACGTAATGCAAAAATTAAAAATTGCTTTTGTACTGACTCAATTCGAATAAAACTTTTTGAGTCCTGCTTGATAGATAGCTTACGAGCCATATTAATAGGTGTTT